TTGCACTTGTCAAAAGCAATTGACTCATGTAGGTTTGAGCCATTAAAACTTAGTGTAGCCTTTTAGTTTTTTTTTCTTTCCAGAATTTTGATCTGAAATTCCTTGAATTTAAGAAGTCTTTTGGGCAAACCAGTGGGGTATTAGGGGTGAGGGGAGTGGGGAGATGGCCTGGTGAGGTTTTGGGGTGATTTGGGTGAACTAGGGTTTTGGGGTTGAATTTTAGAGCTGAAATTTAGGGAATTTGAGGGTGTTTTTGGGGAAATAGATGATGGATTTAGGGAGATGAGGGGACAGGGGTTGTATGGTATCGATTTGGGGAGGTTTGGAGCACCGGAACCTCCGTGAGGCGATTTCCGGTGGTGGTTATCGGCGGAGGATTTTAGGGCGGCGGTTTCTAGGGTTTGGTTAGAGAAGATGAGAATGAGAGGGGTCTGAAGGGTATAGGGGAGGCGTTCGGACAGTTATAAAGGGGGAAGTGGTCAGTTCCCATACGTTCGATCAAAAGAGATCAACAGATGGGATTTGGTGGTCACAAAATGGGGTCGTGTGGTGCAGTGGGGGGAGCTTGGACCGGGTGGCTTGGTTTGGGCCTGGGTCGGAGGGAATTTGGGCTTAATATGAATTTGACCAAATCAAACTTAAACCAGCCTTCTTTTTTAATCCTTTTTTCTTTTTTTCTTTTTTTTTTATTTTCCTTAATTAATAAAAATCCTAAATTAAATCTTAAATTAATATAATTTGTAAAATTAATCTAATTATCTAATTATAATATTTATAACAATTACTTGATCCTAAATTAAAAGAGAAAAATCACTAATCTAAGAATTAAAAATAAAAAATGTAAAAATGAGCCATTTTTTGTGATTTTTATTTTTAATAAAAAAAATAATTAACTAATTAATCCTAAAAATATAAAAACAAAATCTAAATGCAAGCATGATATTTTTTGATATTTTTTATGATTTTAGCAAAAGTAAACATGCACATAAATGCAAACAAGTAACGAAAAATCCTACAAAAATTCTATAAAATGGAAAATAATTGAAAAAAATCTATTTTCTTTGATTTTATAGGAGTATTTCATATAGGAAAAAAATCACATGCTCACAACAAGATGTCAAGTGATTAGAGTTCATGAATTGGGACCGTGATCTATGATTATGAGGTTTGGTACCTCGTGAGAATTCTTGAAAAAATCTGGTGTGAAAGCGGTTATTCTTATTGAGTTGTTAATTATTTTCCTTCATTTGGTTTCACTGGACTAATACTATGTTCAGATTAATCTACGGCGTTATTACCTGTTTTTTTCATGTTTCTATTTGTTGCTCTTAGTTTCCTATTACAAGCATTGTTTTGTTCTTGTTATCATGCTTAGCCCTGTATTGACATTTTCCTCTGCTAGTTCACATTTATATTTGTTCAGATTGTTTAGTTCAGTAGGTGTCTTGATTGTCCCTTGTCACTACTTCACCGAGGTTAGTCTTGAATTTTGATTCTTATTGGGTACCGTTGTGGTGTACTCATGCTACGCTTTCTGCATATCTTTTTGTGCAGATTCAGGTACCTCGGATGTTTATCGGTCATTAGCTAGTTGATCGGCCATTTCTATGGAGACTCAAGGTAAACCTGATGTTGCTTTCGCAGGTCTCGAAGTCACCTTCTGAAATTTTACCTTGTACTTTTATTTTTATTTCGGAGCAGTTCTACTTAGGAATTTTTTATCAAACTCAGTAGAGCTTATGACTTGTACTACCGGTTATGGGATTGTAAGCTTGTATAGAAATTGCTATTTCATAGTTATTAGTTGCTCGTTGAATTTTGCTATTAACTCAGTAAGTGTTAGGCTTACCTTGTCTTAGAGACTAGGTGTCATCGCAACATCCTACGGAGGAAGATTGGGGTCGTGACACTACCATTGAACTTGCTCATCCCTAGATACTCAATTAAAATAAATTTTCAAAATACTCAATTACTGGAAAATATCAAGCACGTTGTTCACCCGCATACTTTCAAGTTTCTCATCATCATCTCTTTAATGAATAGTCATTGACAGCCATTAAAAAGTTTCAAATCTTTGAATTGAAAAAATTGAATTCTGCAAATTTGGTATTTGTTTAGATTGGATGTTGTTGTAAATAATTGAGAATATTTTTTGAAATTTATACCTCAACTTTGAGAGAACATGATAAAGATTTGAGGTGATTTTAGTTAAAATTTCATATTGAAATTCGAAGAAGAAGACATAAATAAATTGTATATATTTGTATGTCGGGTATAGAAAAGACATACAAAATATCTGTAACTAACATAATTATATACAGGTTGTATATAAAATATATTTGATAACTAACATAGGGTTCGCACACTAGGGTTGGATCACACCCCTAGTAGATATCTAGCTACTCATAGTAGAAATGGAAGAAAATAAAGAAGAAACACTAATTAAGGCCATAATATAAAATTAAAATGATAAACTAATGTATTTTTAACCCAAATTTATCACAAATTACCAAAAATGGTAAACTACAACGGCTACAACTAAAACAATTACAAAACTTGACCTAAAAAAATGATTCCCATTTATTTATAGTTACCCAAAATTCGCTAACAAAAATTCCCTTCGGGAAGTTCTACGGCTGCACAATTCCATGTGTGGTCCACACTTTGCTCGAGTCTGCAGGTTGAGGGATTTTTGCAGCCGCACAATTTGATCTACGGCGGCACTTCAGCTTCTACGGCCGCACAATTCCATGTGTGGTCCGCACTTCTAGCAAGATTTCAGTCTTGGATGTTTTGCACACTCTCTGAACTTTTTGAATTCTTGTTAGTGTGACCATGTTCTGCGGTCGCACAAATTGTGTGTGGTCCTCATTTCTCTTCAATCAACTTCTAAGCTTCAACATCAGATCTGTGGCCGCAGAGAGAATTCTGTGGTTCGCGTTTTCTTCTGCGGTTGCAAAAATATTTTTGTGGATTGCACTTTTGGTATGTTGTGCCCCTTCTTGCCTTATGAGTCGGAACACTCTTTTTGAGTTAGATTTCTTCATTAGATTCCAAATCTCCAACATTCCTGTAATTTGCGTACTTTCATTAGTTTTGGGAACATAAATCAACACTTTCGGACTAAAACTAAAGTAAACAAGTACTAATAAGTGGTTAAAATTCACACTTATCAACTCCTCTAAACTTAAGTCTTTGCTCGTCCTGAAGCAAATAGATTAGTGCCCACCTCCTCTGACTAAAAGGTCATTTCAGAGAGTCAATGGTAAGCCATTCATACTCAGTTGGGACCAACAATTACCCACACTACTCATGCATATCAATAAGATGACAAATCACATATCATTCCCATATAGTTCTAATGTAATATTTGAGCTTCAAGAATTGACTTTACTCATCAAGGACTCTTGTTCATCATGTAGATCATGGTAGACCCCAAACTCTTCCTCCTCTACCTTCCATTTGCTAAGCTCACTTCAAAAGTTAGCACTCAATCTTTAGATCAATGAAAGGTTCACTTTTCTCTCACAAAAGAATGTCACAAATATGGCTTCAAGTACCATAGGCTTGCCCCTCATGTATATCACCACTAATGTAAGCTCACTCGGTTCAAAATCAAGTAGGACTTCTTTCGAATTGTAATGAAGGCTTTTGGATTGGGGTAGGATATCATATGGGTAAGTGGTTACACCCTTCCGCAAGCACTCCACATTTTCATTTCGTGGCTCTCATTTACCAATTCTTAAAAATATTCTCTTTTTCTTGGGAGTTAGAGAGTTTTGACATCACTCTTTCTTGTTCATTTTATTCTTTTTCTCTCTTGATGCTCATGTTAGGGATAATTACCTCTTTTTGATTCCATCAACCCTTCCTTTTATTCTCTTTCTTGCATTTTCTTTTTGTTCTTTTTCTTTTCTTGCCTTCTCTTTTCATAGAGATCATTTCTTTTTTCTTTTTAGTGCCTTGATCTTTAAAATTCCTCACTCTCTCCCAAACTTATGCTTTACGTGAAAAAAAAATCCTTGCTCAAAGGATTAAAAATCATGATCTACCCTAGTAGGATTTCAACTCCACTAAACTGAGCAAACTTCAAATTACAACCTATTTCAATCTAGGAATTAAATTCTTGATCTCTCAACGTACCCCTTATAATAACTCTATTGTAATTACTTTGCAATAATTATATTATAAAGCAACACTCTTGACTAACTCTAGTCAAACAACCAAAACAATAATGGTTAAATGAAGTCCTACAAAATACTTCTAAAAAGCCATGTAGGAATGCAAGTAAAGAACAAAAGACAAAGACACAATAAACTTAAGGACTCAAGACATCTTTTGTGTTGGGATCTGGTCCTTGGTTTGTAGCAGCTTTGTTCTTGAGAGCGCCGGGATGAAACAGTGGCGGCTAGCACTTGAATGATAGGTTTTTCAGATTATCAAGTGTTAGGCCAAACCTTGTATAATGTTGTTTATATATGTGAGAGTATGTGTGAAGAGATAGGGACATTACAACTTTTGGTTTGGCCTCTACCAGTAGCGGTTGTGCCGATGCACTGCTGTCGGTCGGTACAGTGAAACAACTTTTACAACTATAGAGTTGATTGTACGACAGTGGAGGAACTGATCCCATCTGTCCCCTTATTTATTTCCTTATCTAGTTTCTTGAGAATTTGGCCAGACAACTGAGCATGTCTCAATAGGCGCAAAGGAACTAATTGTATTTGGTTCCTCCACGAAGTTTGACAAATCATCAAAACCGTAATCGCATAACTTATCAATTATGTTGTACGCTATCATGTCATATGTATGAAGCTTTTTACCAAGTTATATGGTGAAGATGACGAGTGATAAAGATGATGAGTGAAACGATCAAGGGTATGATAGAAGGAAAAAAAAGTTGAAAAAAATAAACAATGAGAAAATAAAAAAGATAGGATGTAATAGTGCTCTCAAACAAAAACATAAAATTAACGAGGACGTAAAGGTTGTTAACGAAATGAGGCCTAACCCTATCCAAATGGAAAAGGGAATTGATCGTGTTGTCAATAATTCAAAGAGTACATATGGTACATTTTATCCAAATGACATGACTTATAAAACACGATTACAAAACTTTATTCAAGAGAAATGGGCTAGAATTCATCTCGTGTCTCACTAATATTAAACATGTAACATTATTTTCTCCAATCTCCTACTGCGGAAGCTATATCACCTGAAACGCAAGAAATACAGCATGAAGCATTAGTATTTGGCACCCTAACCAGCTATGACAGATCCAAGATTTGGATATTCTGTATTATGAGCTGAAAAAACTGAGTTCTGAAATAAATATATTTAGCGCTACTTATACTTCTTTTTTTCTTTACATATACATAGATGTATAAGATTCGTTGGCGTCTGCTGAAGCACGACCCTATTATGTATCTGCCACTGACTCTACCAACAAATAAGGAAAAGAAATTGACAAAGAAGAAAAAGGTAGAGTGCTTACTTGCACTTTCTTACATGTATTGGTAACATCACAATAAGCCTCAAGAGTAATTAAAGCTTGATTGTCTAACTGCTCGGCATAACGATGGCAGGAACAGCTACGGCCAATAGTACTCTTGAATGTTGGGCAACACTCATCTATGGAGGTTGTGTTTGTCATGCAAGTCTTTATCTTTGCTTTATCCCCAGCACAACAGCTCCGTTGTGGTCGTGGACCACGTGGACGTGGTCGTGGATGAGGACGAGGGCATCGCCTCGTGACGGAGGAGGTGGAATCGGCGTCCTCTGTCATGTCTTCTTGCTGGTAGGTTTACATTGCCAGTATATAAAAATTAAACTAAAAAGTAAGAGAGGCAACCTACTATAATAGGTTGAAATACATTAATTTACCGTATATATATATATAAATTAAATCCTTCTAAAAAATCTACCAATAACTAACCTTTTCACACATGCATGGATTCTTGACATCACAATAACTAGCAAGAGTAATCAAAGCTTGGTTATCTAAGTAATTGGCATAACGATAGCAGGGACATTTACGACCAAGTATGCTCTTAAATGTTGGGCAGCAATCGTCTATGGAAGTTGTATTTGTCATGCATTTTTTCAGCTTATGTTTGTCACTATCACAACAGCGGGGGAATGGCCACGACCTACTGACCGAGGAGACTATCTCCGTGTCGGTAGTGGCCTCTTCTGTCGCCAATGCTTGGTGGCTGCAAAATAAAGTTGCAGCCACTAAAAACATGAGCAACACTAACTTTTTGCTCATTCTTGTGCTTCTTTTTCCTATTATATATCAATATTCAAGAGAATGCTTTTTGTTGAAATGAAAAGGTCGAAACCCTCTTATATAATTCGATCGAGAATGAATAATACTATAAAATTAATTAGAATTTATATCGCACATAGAAATGCTTAAGTCGTGTTCTTCTGTAAAATAAAAATGATTGGGGTTAGGAATCACGCTTCCCTATTTTAGATCTGGATCTAACAATTAATTAGTCCATACATTTTTCTACTATATTCAATTGATCAAGCAAATCAAATGCAGATAACTAAAAGAGATTCTCTTAATAGATGGTCAAAAGTGGCGTATTAATAGCATCAGTTGTTTTATGTGCATCTTTTCATTCTTTTACAGTTTCTAATACTTACTGGCGAAATGACTTTAGTACTGTCTTTACCGCTAGGCAAATGAGCAAGAAAAAGTTTGACAGAGAAAAGGACAAATTTTACTAAATATCCAATAGTACATGCTATTAAGTCATGAAAAATTTATAACTATTTGTTAAGTTGAATTAAAATGATATAAGTATCATATTAGCAAAAAATAAAATAAAAAGATACAGTAAGTTTGATCTTAGCTATAGTTTTGTTTTGTCACTTTTTTTTTTCTTGGTTACTGAATGAAGGAAAATTCTTAATTATGCTTTTTAAAACTGAAATGTTAAAATAATAGTCTAAGGTTTTTGACAACGGGATAAAATGTTAGTGTATCAAATTCAAACTAACCTTTGTAGAGTGGAACGGTTCTTTCACCATGGATAACTCATCATAATATGGGTAAAACTGTGGTTTAACCAGATTTGGAATTACCACCACGAATTGTGATGGAGTGATTCACCCTTCACTAGGGATTTCGGTTTTGGGCTTTGAAAGTGAAAAAAGTTTAATAAGGATCGCCATTCACCTTAATTAGCCTTACAAATTCAAGTTAGTCGAAGCCTCAAGCGAGTACCGTACATCGATTGGGAGGGAGAAATTCAAAAATAGCCAGATTTACAATTGGTCGTTCAAAAATAGCTCAGTTTCAAAAGTAATCGAAATTTAGCCACTTTTTATATAAAGATAAATCTGAGCGAAAACACTGTTCAAATCTCGAAAAATACACCAGTATATTATGCTGGAGTTACAGCATAAGTATATTTGAACTCCAGCATAAGTATATTTGAACTCCAGCATATTATAATGGAGTTCCAGGATAAGTATGCTAGAACTCCAGCATAATATGATAGAGTTCTAGCATAAGTACACTAGAACTCCAGCATAATATACTGGAGTTCCAGCAAGTATACCGGTCCAGCATAATGTAGGAATATATACCACAGCGGAAGCAATAACAGAATCTTATTCACGTGTAATCTAAACAACTAGCACGTATGGAGATTTTAGGATTACCTCTTGAAGCGTAAACACAACAAATCTATGTCGTTCTCTAGTTCCTCAGTTGAAAACACACCAGCAGATTTCCACAGTCTTCTACTGTGTTACCCAAACAATAACCGAAAATGGAGAATTTTGGGTGGACAAAATTCTAGTAGAAACCGCAGTCAGAATCTTGTCAAAAAACGTCCAGCCCTTATATCCATATATATAGTTGCGTTTTAGGTCAAAACAGTTTTCAAAACCTGTTAGGTTTCCTTCTCCCACTAAGGGACGGTTTCCATGTTTTCTTTCCCACTAAGTAACAGTTTCCACTATTTTCTATTGTTTAGGCACAATAGGGACCATAGAATTTAATTAACAAGGCTTCCTATTATGATATTAATTTCGAAATTCTGAAACTAATTTCCATCATAATAAATTACGAATTATTCCACTAAAAATTCGTAATTGCACTCCTTAGTTCAATTTCGAAATTCTTCCATAAAACCTTATTTAACTCCCCATGTTAAGATTCAGATACTAATCAATCAAATTAAATTACTGACTATTTAATTTATTGATTACTTCCTTTAGACTTACACTTAACTTATTTCATGTGTCGGATACAAAATCCACCGGCCGGGTTTACACATGAAAACTTATAAGCTTTCATAAAGGAGTATCATCAATCTCAAAATTGAGACATGGATTCCATCAACTAATTATTACTTCGCCAATGTATATCATTGTTATCCAATTTACCAGGCTTATTGACTCGCGAAAGAATCTCGCCTTTTAATAAATCAAAACAACAAGTGACATACACAGCTAATAATAATTATATCAGGATTAAGAGTATAAGTACATTAAATGGACTAGAGAAATTATTTTATAAAGTCAGTATAAAATACTCATCTCTACTTGATCCGTTCAATACATACAAAATGTACTAGCACAAGAAGTTGGAATTAAACCATTCCCATAATCAAGATAAATTATATTTAATCTTGTGCTACAATCATTCCGATGATTTGTCCAATTCCATCATTAGATTGTGAACATTAACTTTTATGTCTTACAAGAACCGATGATTTAATCTTCCGTGTATAAGCTAAACTCTATACACTAAATCATCTACTATGTAAGCAATGGACGCACAAACCAACACATGATCTATTTAAAATGAAACTTTATTGAATTTAAACAAGTAAATAAATAATTGTTCATAAAGAATACTATAACAATACGCATGGCTTATAGTATATTCTAACAATCTCCCACTTAGACTAATAACCATGCGTCTACAATTTTGACACTCATTCCTTCTACATGCTTATCAAAAGTCTTCTGTGGTAAGCTCTTAGTAAACGGATCTGCCAAGTTGTTCTCTGACGCAATCTTGGTGACCACTACATCCCCTCTCTGCACTATATCACGAATTAAATGATATTTACGCTCAATGTGCTTTGCCCTCTTATGGCTTCGTGGCTCCTTTGAATTTGCAACCGCACCACTATTATCACAGTAAAGCGTAATTGGCACTTGAATCGAAGGAACCACACCCAACTCTCTCAGGAAGTTACCGAGCCAAACTGCCTCTTTGGCTGCCTCAGAGGCTGCCACATATTCGGCTTCCATGGTGGAATCAGCAACACAAGTTTGCTTGATACTCCTCCAACTTATGGCTCCACCTCCAAGAGTAAACACATTACCTGAGGTAGACTTTCTAGAATCTCTGTCTGATTGAAAATCCGAATCAGTATATCCAATAGGTACCAGGTCATCCGAATGGTAGATCAACATGTAATCTCTAGTCCTTTTCAGGTGCTTGATTATATGTTTAACCGCCGTCCAATGCTCTTTCCCAGGATTAGACTGAAATCTGCTAACAACGCCAACGACAAAGCAGATATCAGGCCTAGTGCATAACATAGCATACATGAGGCTCCCCACAGCTGATGCATAAGGGACCGCGTTCATCTTTTCTATCTCTTAATTAGTCTTAGGAGACTGATCTTTAGATAGAGAAATTCCATATCTGAAAGGAAGGAATCCTTTCTT